CACACACACACACACACACACACACACACACACACACACACACACACTTGCTTTTGCTAGTGTCTTTCGTCTCCCTGGATTGTCTGCCCTGCCCCACTTCTCCTGACCTGGCTCATTCCTACTCATCCTCTAAGACCCCTCCAGGCAGGCACCCTGGACCTGTCAGGCTGGGTTAGTGCCCCTCCAGCGGCTGTCCTAGCACCCTGTGTTGCCCCCGTCACTCAGGGCTGTGCCTCCTTGGTGATGAGCCTGTCTGTCCCGCCAGATTTCGAGTTCCATGAGGACAGGGGCCGAGTCTAACTGGATTTTTAGTCTCAGCTCCCCACGTGCTGCTGTTCCGAGCAGTGAGTGTTTGCTGAGCCTACCCTGAGACTCAGAAGCCCATGACACTGAGTGTAGCTCAGACCCAGCCCATAGGCACAGCTGCAGTGAGGCACGGTGAGGGAAGGGCCGAGCCAGGCGGGCGTGGGCTCAGTGGGGTCTTCCTGGGAAGGTGCGTATGAGGCCTGATTTTGTGAGTGGGACTCTGGGTTAGAGGAGCGGTTGGTGGTCTCCATGGAGAGGTCCTTGTGAAAGCTGGTAGTTGGGGACAAGCCCACCTCGTTAAGCTCAACCCCAGTTATGCCTTGGCTTCCTGTAGTGCGCTGCCCTGGCTCTGAGGAGACACAGCAGTGAAGGAGGCATGGCTTCCACCTTCCAGGAATGCCCTTCCACCTGGCATGGGGACGAAACCGGGACTGGACCTGTGTAGGTAGCTGGTGAGGAAACCCTCTGATTGCAGAGCCAGGCTGGGCCCAGGGCCCCAGAGGAGCTCAAGTGCCAGGGCAAACCATGTGGGTGAGCGGGTGCCCCCTTCCCCATCACGTCAATACCAGTGGAATCTGCAAAGCTGAACAGGGAGCGATGGGGAGGAGATGCCGTCTCTACTTCTGAGCGTATTCTCTGACCCACAGTTGGTTTATAAAATTCTTGCTACATGATTGTTTCATCCCATCCCTTCAGGTTGAGGATGGTTATTCCCGTTTCACAGGTCAGGAAACTGAGCTCAGAGAGGCCATTTGACTTGCTCCAGGTTGCCTGATTCGTCAAGGGGAGGCCTGGTCTGGAGCCCTTTCGATCATTGGTTCCCTCTACAAACAAGAGCGCTTCCAAGTGCCAAGCACCGAGCTGGCCGCTGGGGCTAGAGCTGTGGGTGAAACCCAGTCCTGCCCTCATGCAGTTCGTGTTCTAGTGGGGAAACTGACAGCAACACAGATGACTGCGTTCATTGTTCGGCATGATAGATGCCAGCAGAAACAGAAGCGGAGGAGGATAAGGGGTGTCCGTGGAGAATGGGGGTTGCAATTCTGGATGGGGTGGCCAGGGTTGGCCTCCCTGAGAAGGTGACATTTGAGCAAAGACCTAGCCGTCTATATCTGCCTTTGCGAAGGAGAGCACTCTGATCTGACGAGGGGCATGCGCAAGGGGTCTTACTGCCAAGGAAGCAGTTCCAGTTCCTGGCCGCTCTCCCCAATTGAGGGCTGATTATGTTTGCACTCCCGGCATTGTTTCGGGCCAGCTGCCTGGCACCACCTCCTTCTCCCCAGCCTGCAGTTTCCTGTGCCACCAGACTCTTAGTTGCCACAGCTGTGCTGACAAGCATTCTCCCACAGCGTTGCCGGAAACTCTCAGAGAATTGGGCACCTGAGTATGCCTGAGGGGGGCGGCAGGGCCTTCGGGCACCAGGCAGAGACGTCACCATGGTGCTTCCGCGGGTGCTGCTCAGCCTGCAGAGGCCTCTGGCCTTTGGGGAGGTGGCTGGGCTCCCCCAGTCTGATGGACGGCTGTCTTCCAGACCCTGACACCGATGCAGCCACCATCCAGGAGGTCAGCGAGGCCGTGCTGGCCCTGTGGCTGCCCACGGACTCTGCCACCGTCCTACGGAAGATGAATGAGATCCAGGCTATCGCAGCCAGGCTTCCCAACGTGGACCTGGTGCTGTCCCAGACCAAGCAGGACATCGCCAGAGCTCGCAGGCTGCAGGCCGAGGCCGAGCAGGCCAGGTATGGCACTGCGCCCTGAGCGCCTCCCCGCCCAGAATGGGGCTGGCGTATTGCTCCCCAAGTCTGTTCCTGGAAGTGAGAGAAGAAGCTCCCCAAATCAGAGGGGTGCAGGGTGCTGGGAGACAGGAGGGGCACTAACAGTGGGGGGTGGTGAAGTGATGATACCTAGCATTCAGGTTACACTTTACTCGGCATGGCTCTGTCTGCCCTACTGCAACCCTGCCCAAAAGGGTGCCTCCGACATAACATTCATCATGTCTGTTTGGTGGGGTCCTATTGAAAAAGCTCTGAGTTGGGAAGGATATCCCCTTGGACTGGTGAGCGGGTTGACCCACATATCTCTTCTTTCCCTGTTCACTCACTCTCTCCCTTCTCCCTTCTCCCTTCTCCCTTCCCCTCTCCTGGCTCCAGGAGCCGAGCCCACGCCGTGGAGGGCCAGGTGGAGGACGTGGTGGGGAACCTTCGGCAGGGCATGGTGGCGCTGCAGGAGGCTCAGGACACCATGCACGGCACCAGCCGCTCCCTTCGGCTTATGCAGGACAGGGTTGCTGAGGTGAGGTGTTTTGGTTTCCTGCCCCCATTTTGGGAATGAACAGACAGATTCAGGCACAAGGATAGAAGATGCCAGAAAGTGACCTGGATGGAAACTGAGCTGGGGACCTAAAGAAGGAAGGTTATAGTCTTGAACCTGGCTTTGAGCTTCTGGTTTTCTGTTTTCATGGCCGGGTGCAGAAAGGAGTGGGGGTCCGCTGAGTTGGAGAAGGGGGAGGCCTGGATGCGAGCGGACAGATGGGGGATAGGACGGGGACAACAGTGATGTCTTGGTTGGAGAAAGTTGTGGCTGCCTGATGGTTGGAGAAAAGAAGGATGAAGACCACTGCCCGTGAGGGCCACCGCAAACCCCAGGTCTCCCTGTTTCCACAAAGGTTCAGCAGGTCCTGGGGCCAGCAGAAATTCTAGTGACGGGCATGATGGAGCAGCTGGGTGACTTCCGAGCACGGATGGAGGCGCTCCACCGCCAGGCCGAGCAGCAGCGGGCACAGGCAGCCGAGGCCCAGCAGCTCGCGAAGGGCGCCAGGGAGCGAGCGCTGAGCGCCCAGGAGGTACAGAGAAGGCAGAGTCAGCCCGAGGAAGCACAGCCGTGGGGGGCTCCTGAGTAGAAGAGGATACTTCATAGGACCCTGGGCTCCAAAGCAATTAGAATAACAGTTAATTCCAGAATAACCAGAAGGGGCTCTAGGGTTAACCCAAACCTGGGCAGACATCTGAATTATACCTCTGGCTGCCTTTGGTGTTGCTGGCTCAGGGATATTGGAAACCATCTAGTTCAATCCCTCTCCTTTTACAGATGAAGGTAACTGCCCAGGCCCAAAGCTCATCTGCAAAGTGGGTCTCCTGACTCCCAATCCAGGCTTGTCCCCTGTTGTGGCTGCCCAGACAGACTGACATTCTTGACTTAGCCTAACCTGAGAGCCCATCACTGTCAGAATTAGATCAGAGAGGAGATCAAAGGGCCAGCCTGAGTGTCTCCCGTGCACCTGGAATGTTAGCACTGACAATCCCGGTACAATGGCCAAGCTGCCGAGTATATAATTAAGTGACAACTGTGTGCCTGGCACTGTGCTGGGGGTGACTGGGAAGTGACAGTAGCTACAGACAGAGGGAAGGAAACACAGAAGAAGTTTAAAATACAGTTTGTAGCCCAGGGGTGTCTGTAGTCAAAACCAACCCACTGAGGCTTAATAGTACATTACCCCTCCGTGTTGATTCGGGTGACAGCAAGTGCTCCAGCCAAAGCTCTTTAGGACTTTGGGCGATGATGATGGTGACAGAGACTGTTCTACCACTTTTCAGGGATTTGAGAGAATAAAACAAAAATATGCTGAGCTAAAGGACCGGTTGGGTCAGAGCCCCATGCTGGGGGAGCAGGGCAGCCGGATCCTGAACGTCAAGACGGAGGCAGAGGAGCTGTTTGGGGAGACCATGGAGATGATGGACAGGATGAGAGGTGAGGGGGTGGTGTGGGGGCATGAACTGTGGGGCGTCCTGACGGCGGGTCCCAACCCAGGGTTTCTGAGGCCCCGGTGTGTGGAGCTAGCCATGCTAAGCGAGTGAGGTCAGTCGCGAGTTTCTGAGCGCCTGGAATGAGGCACAGTGATGGGGTTAGGGGGAGTGCAGAGATGTCCGCAAGACTTGGCCTCGTCTCAAGAAGCTTGCGATCCAGAGGGTGCCATTTTCCCTGTTGCCTGCAAGATGCATGAAACTGTATTTAACAGCACAAGGGGGTCTGCGATAGGAGCCTGGGTAATAAGAGGTCTGGGGGAGGGGCAGAGGATAAATAATGTCAGGGAGTAATGTTCGGTGAAGGGAATGTGCTGAAAAGATTAGACGAGGGTCTGGAAGGACAAGTAGGCCTAGGAGAGGCTGGGAGGGAGGGGAGAGCCCTCCAGCCAGGGTGGGTGGCAAGGCTGAGGCGTGTTCTGATGGGAGCAAAGCAGCGGGGGCCAGCGTGTCTGGGTCCAGGCTTCTGGCCCCCACGCCAGGATAGGAGGGGCGGCTCAGCCCTGGAGGCAGCAGGAACCATCTCAGAGTTTCACGTATGGCAGAGACGTAATGAAAGGAGCTTTCGAAAGGGTTCTGAGGTTCCTCAGAAAAGAGAACAAGAATTCCCAGGAAACAGGCTCAAGCTTGAAGGTGTGATGGTGGGGTCACGGCCCTGGTGTGCCAGTGAATGCCTCAGACAGAGTTTCTCTGAATTTCAGAGAAAACAGACAAAAATCTATTTCTTTAATCAGGTGGGCATGATGGAGAAGGTGAAGCTGGTAAGTTGACAGCGGGTAGACGTGAGGCTGTGGCCAGCCAGACCTGAGGGTAAGGTGGGAGGAGCCGACCTAGATGGAGGAGCCTAAAGAATTTATTTATCAGATCTGTGGATGACAGACAGTTAATATACTAGATAACAGAACCAATATTCTAAGGCAATCTCAGCAGTCTAAAGGGATGGGCTAACTAACAGAATGAAATTAAATAAGGAGAAAAGTTATCTTCCAGTCTGGCCTCGTTTGGGCCTAAACCCAGAAGTACAGCTCACATGAGGCCCGGCTTCTCTGTGGCTAATGTAGCTGAAAACACTTTATAACCAGTAAGTGATAAGCAAATGAGCTGTTACTCATCTGAGAAAGACCCAAGAGTTTGGAGTAGCTGTAAGCTTGGTATACGTCAGCAGTGTCTTGTTACTGCCAAAAGAGCGAATAAATGCGAAACAGGCAAAATCAGGGGTGTAATGGCTCAGGGGTGATATTAAAAATATTTAGTAACTGGTGTGTCATGCACCTACCAAACAGAAGAGACTCAGGTGGTAGCATTGGAACAGCCACTGACCTTCTTGCAGGAATTTGCAGGAATTTACCTTTAATTGCAGGATGTTGGGGACACTCCTGCACAGGTGGCCCCTGTGAGTAGGGACCAGGGAACAGAACAGCAACTGCTAAAATTTCAATATTTTATCAACCCATAGGCCCATATGGGTGCCCACTGGCTGAATGTCAGCCTAGTAGCAGCCCTATTACTCTCTGCATGTAGGATCTCACCTGAGGGATGGTGTTCAGTGGTGGCTGTTCCTTCTTCAGAAGGGCTATGGACAAATGAAACATCACGGGAGAGTGACCAGGGTTGGGAGGTAGGGAAGGGCTTGGTGATTGCATCAGATAAGGAATGGATGAAGGAATTAGGGAGGTTTAATCTGGAGAAGATGAGGCCCCAGGCATTTGAAGGACTGTGATGTGGGAGACAGAGCAAATATATTCCTGTACCCCCAGGACATAGACCTGAGACAACTGGGTGGAAGCAAGAAGTGCTCAGATTCTGGCTTAATGAGAAGAGTTTTGGTTTTTTTTAAAATAATTTTTATTATTATTATTAGTTTCAGGTGTACAAAACAATGCAATAGTTATCCTTTTCACCCCTCACAAAGTGACAACCCCCCTCCCCCCATCTACCGCCCTCCCACCCCCAATATCATACAGATCTATTACAATTCCATTGACTCCATTCCCATACTGTACACCACATCCTGTGACTATATAGGTATTAAATTATAGTTGACATATAATATTATACAACATCAGCTTCAGGTGGACAGTGCAGTGGTCAGGCCTCTACACCATCCATGAAGTGGTCTCCCTAACCAGACATGAGTCCATCTGGCGCCCTAAAAAATATTTACAACATTATTGATTATATTCCCCAGACTGTCTTTTCTATCCCTGAGGCCATATTGTAGTTACCAATTTATGTTGTCTCGTCCCTTCCCCTTCTCCCTCATCCCCACACCTGCCCCATCTAGCAACCCTCAGTTTTCCCTCTGTCTCTGAGACTATTTCTGTTTACATTCCTCATTTATTCAGTTCTTTAGATTCTACATATAAGTGAGATCATATGCTATTTGTCTTTCTCTGACTGACTTATTTCACTTAGCATAACGTTCTCTAGGTCCATCCGTATCGTTGCAAATGGTACGATTACCGTCTTCTTTATAGCTGAGTAATACTCCATTGTGTAAATGGACCACAGTTTCTTAATCCAGTCGTTGAGAAGACTTTTTTTTAACAACTGGAGCTGCCTAAAGCTGGAGCCTTGTGAGGAAGTGTGCTCCCTTCCTATTCCTGGAAAACTTCTAGCTGAGGCTGGGTCCCAGCCCTCGAATGTGGTAGAGGGGTGTCCTGCCTAGGGTGACAGGAGGAGCAGGTGGACGCGGCCACTTTGAAGTCCTTTCAGTGCCCCGTGCACAGTGGTGGTATGCAGAGTGGACTGGATGTGGAGGACCAGCTCTGGAGTGGCATTTTGAGGAGGGAAAGGGGGAAGGAATTCTGGTCACTCTGATAGCTCTTTGCCATGGTGCCCACTTGAGGATCGTTAGTGGGATGGCAGCTGTCTGGGTCCAATAGCAACGGGTTGCTAACCTTGGTGCCAGTGGCTCTCCTCATCAGTCTGGGACAACAGAGGGAGCCTAGAGCAGAGGAGAAGGGTAGGGGCCACAGGATAACTGGGGTGAAGGCTTTCTAGGTCTGGCGCCTGCCACATGTGTTTCTTTAATAGTGGGATAGGGCTGGGGGCACATGAGGCTGGAGCGGGCTGTCCTTGACAAGTCTCCCCTATGGGTGATTCTTCCTACAGGTGGTGCGCCCAGTGGGTGGGAGGAAAAGGGGTTGGAAGTCTTGGGGAGGTCTCCCCAGCCCCGCCTCCTCCTCTAACCCCTGCTGTTCCATGTGCCCTCAGACATGGAGTCCGAGCTGCTTCGGGGGAGCCAGGCCATCATGCTTCGCTCGGCAGACCTGACAGGGCTGGAGAAGCACGTGGAGCAGATCCGCGACCACATCAACGAACGTGTGCTCTACTACGCCACATGCAAATGATGGTCCAGCGGCCAGCCCCTGGCCCCGGTATCTGCCCTCTTCTCTTTGCAGGGCAGACTGGGTTGGAATGCTTTCTACTCCTTTTGTGTAGCCCAAAGCACTGCCTGGGCCACCGCGACTCCGCAGCTGTTACGATTAGTCTGTGCTGCAGCCGAGCCTGAGCAGATGGTACAGCCACATTTGAGGGACAGAGATGGTGGAAGCGGGCCACGCCACTGTGACCAGGAGCTCTCAAGTGGAGGGAGCTTGGCTGAGCAGCAACCTCGCCCTTCGTTCTCCACGGAGGCTGAATCCTCCGTGGAGAAAAACTTAACCCAAAATGATGTACAAATAAAAGGCCCAGTATAAATCTTTGGAAAGGAGCCTGGAGGTTCAAAGAGGGAAAATGGTCTGTCTCCCATTAAGTAAACATTTGTCACTTGTTTCTGTCTTCCATTTGGGGTTCCTGGGTGCTCAGGCCGAAGGCCTGCTGGGGTACCAGGCACAGGCTGTCCCACTCCAGCTGGCTTATCACCCGAACTGAAAGGGACTGGGCCCCTCGGCCCGGAACCTGATGGATCTCATCCTTGAGAGATCAGAGGAGCCCTTTTCATCTGAGGACAATGGTCCAGTTTCACATTTACAAATAAGGAAATAGAAACCCAGAGGACGGAAGTAAGGTGTCCAAATTTACAGAGCTCCTAGAGGCAGAACTAAGACCAGATCTGTGTTTCAGGATCTCAAAGTTGTAACAGATGTATCTCTGTGAGTATGTGTGTGTGTGTTTGTGTGTCTGTGTATGTGTGTGTGTGTGTGGGGGGGGGTGTATAGAAATGGCATGAGAATCTGTGTGCTGCCACAGCCCAGGCACTGGGCTAGACATTTATCTATGTGAACGCCTTGATCATTATTGACCATATTAATTATTTATTGAGCACTGTGCTGGACATGTCGTCTGCTCTACCTCACGATGTAAGTGGCGCTGACAAGTGAGGAAGTCAAGGCACAAAGGGCTACATAACTTCCCAAGGTCACAGATGCGGCAGCGCAGGGCTAGGCCTCAACTTCATGCTCCTCTCATACAGTATTAGGAGGAGAGGCGCTGGAGTCGAAGCAGCTGGGCCCCAACAGAGCCTACCCCAAGGGGTTGCTGTGCGGAGCGCATGGGTCAGCACGGGTAACGCACGTTGCTAGGTGCCTGGCACACTGCGTGCTTCCAGCCCACGTCAGCCACCACCGTGGCTGGGTGCCACTTGCCACTGTCACAGGCTCCCAAGTCCCTGAGCAGCTTCTTACTTGGAGAAGAACCAAATGAAGCCTCATAGAGAAAAATATGTCCATTTTATTGAGCACAACACTGAGCATGAAGCTGGAGTATGAAAACTCGGGAGGGGCCAGAATGATGCGCCTGACTTCCAGGTAGAGAAAGGGGAGCAGAGGCAGGATTAGAAACACGGGCTGAAAGTCAAAAGTCAACTTCCAGTTTTCACTTCCTGGGGGATGTGGGTGTGGAGGGCGTTCAGCCAGGATACTAACTCCTTCCAGTACTTTTGTCAGGGGTTTCGTCCTTTTTCTTCTTGGAGGATGCAGCACTGCTTTTGGACTGGGGCGGCGAGGGAGGTGGCTCAGAAGCGGGCCGGGTATGCTGATGGGGTCTGAGCTCTGTTGGGAGCTAATCCTGGAGCTAAGAATGACTCAGACTTGGAGAACTCACAGGCAGGCCACAGAGCTGCCTGTCATTCATGCAGATGGGCAGGCGACGACATTAATGAGCCGATTCAAGGCCTGAGAGGCAGGAGCAAGTGTGTGCTGAGCGGGAAGTCTGGGGAGGTACTCCTTATGGCTTTGCTCTGAAGGTGACACGGCCTGACCAGCCTGTGAAGCTTTTCACAACAGAGGACACAGACCCAGGCAAGAGCTATCTACGTATACTGCACAGAGCCACGGCGCATAGGGTGTGGGGCGCAGAGCAGGCAGGTCAGGGAGATCGGGAAGCCGGTGGACGCAGCTCCTCCTGCCACAGCTTCAGCGAGGCCTCCGCCTGGGGGCTCCCGGCTGGGCCTTCAGGGAGGGTCTGCCCAAGGTGGCAGCAATCGGCTGCTTTTGACCAGAAGCCACTCCCACCAGCCCCGCTCCATTTGCTCCCCTTCCTCTTGCTCCAGGGTAGACCCCAGGGTTGGAAAGGCAGAGAAGAGTTGACCATCTCTCCTGCAGAAGAAAGGGATTCAGGGTGGGGGCGGGGCAGCTGCCTTTGGCCCCCCTCAGAGCCCATCATTCAGACTCTGGGAGGGTGCTTTCCTTCTGAGACAGAAGCCCCCCAACCCCGAGCCTTTGCCCTGGCCCTCCTGCCTCTAGTCCCCTCACCTGAAAATTTTACAGTGATACAGGCACAAACCCCAGGGATCACATAATGAGACAGACTCCGGTCTGCCCCGCCCGGCAGTGGGAGCTGCCGCTGGCTTTGATGGGCACCATGACCTCAGATTTGAAGTTCCTGGAAAGGAAATGAAGCAGCAGCTATGACGTATGTGAGGAAGACAGAGGGGCCAAGATCGTTCTCTGTGCCTGTGGCCTCCACTCAGCCCTCCCTTCATGAGGTTCAGAAAGTGCAAGTGTTTGCAGGAAAGACAAACAAGAACCAACGCTGTCCCCCTTCCGAAACACGGAGGCCCTGGAAACTCAAGGACTCTAATGCTCACCATTCACACGGGCCCAGTTTTCTGCAGACATTTATAATCCCTGTTGCTTCACGAGGCATTTACAGTACCTCTGAGGCAGGCTGAGCAGGTAAAAGTAATTCAAACAACCCATTTTACAGATGAGCAAACTAGAAACACAGACACTGATTTGTCAGTGGCCACACAGCTCGTGGGTGGTAAGGACAGGATTGGACGCTTTTCCCTTGACCCAATCCAGAGCTCTTCCTACCCTATGGAGCTGCCTCGAGTGGGAGAGGCTCTTTGGCCCATTTCTTTCCGCTGTTGCCTGAGTTCACTCACACCCAGGCCGAGCGGGACTAGGTCTCTGTCTTAGGGGGCAAATACGTACTGTTTTTTGTTGGCCTTTTTGAGGAGGGTGGGCTCCGAGCAGTAGGAGGACTTCCCTTTGTTCCCGATGCTCAGGCAGCTGGCGCAGCACCCACAGGGCCCCACGGCCAAGGGCCCCTGTTGCATGGGCACCAAGCTGCTGCTGATGCGGAGGGAGCCGTTGACCAGGCAGTTGAGGGACTTGCCACTGTGGGCAGTGGGCCGGGGGCCCCGCTGGCAGGGCAGCCGGGTCAGGACAGGGAGTGCCACGCTCTGGTCCAGGGCGGGTGCCTCGGTGATGCTGATCTCCGGGGAGGTGGGTCTTGAAGCTTCTGAGGCTGGAGTGACAGGTGGCCTGTTCTCCACCTCCGGGCGGCCCCCCGGACTGTGCAGGTTCATGTGCAGCTTCCTCATGTGATGTACCACAGCGGCTGCGTTGAAGGCTTGCTAAGGAGACAAGACCAGTCTCTGGCCATCTCCACGCGTAGAGGCCACAGGGCTCAAGTTTTGCCTCTGCTCTGTGGCCTCCGGAAACTGAAGTGCCTGCCTCTCGTTTCAGAGAAGGTCCAGGGAGCGTCGGTGTCTGCTGGGAAACCCCAAGGAGCCCCTCCCCCAGCCCCTGCCCTAGCCCAGCCTCCAGGGGCCCAGAACAGCCTGCCACCCCCGGAGAGGACAACTTACCCTCCACTTGCTCTTTGCAAAGTTCTTCTGGATCTGAAGGCTGACTGATGGGTAGATGTCCCGGTGGAGGGCTGTGTTCCCAGCAATCCTGTGCAGGCAGAGGGGACACTGGGCTAGTGGGAGGCCGGGAACCCAGCCAGGGCTTGGGCGGGGGGCTGTGGACACAGGCCCAGGTTAAGCCGAGCGGAGTGCCCGGGGAGAAGGGCAGCCCATAGGAGAGGCTGGAGCCAGGGCCCCTCTGTCCCCCCGGGAGGGTCATAGGAGGCCTATGCTTTGGCGAAACCAAACACTTGCTTTAGAGCAGATCAGCAAACTATGGCCTTTGGGCCAAATCTATCCATTGCCGGTTTTTGTAAATAAGGTCGTATTGGGACACAGACACAGCCGTTCATTCAGGTATGGACTATGGCTGCTTTTGTGCTACAAAGGCAGATTGACTAGTTGCCATAGAGACAGTATGGCCAGCAGAGCCCAAACTATTTACTATCTGGCTTTTTACAGAAAGAGTTCACTGACCCTGTCAGAAGGCACTTGGATTGTCACTATCCTGTAGCTCAAAACTTTGCTTGGAACCCACCTCCTCCTGGAAGCCTTTTTCAGTGAGGCCCCTTCAATACAACTGCCCTTTTCCTGGCCCGTTAGCCCCTTATTCACCTGTCTCTAGGTTTCCTCAGACACTTGCCATGTGCACAGCACTCTCTACGTACGAAGGGACCCAGAGAAGTAGCAGACGTGGCCCTGATCCCTAGGGGCCTACAGTGCAGGTGTGGAGCTTTACTTCATACCACGAACTGGAATAATTCATGGGAAGCTGTGTAATTGGTAAAGATGGGGGGGTCTGCCTGGCCTGCTGGAGCAAGGGCTTCCGGGAGCCTGAAGGATGCTACGTATGAGGCAAAAGGCAGGGCATTCTAGGTGGTGAAAATGCTATGACCCAAGATGTGGTTTGGAAAGCGCTTGGTACAAGACATGGGGAGGGCAGGGAGAGAAATACAGCTCTTAGGCCTTCCTGGAACAGAGAAGCTATGTTCAGAATCCTGGGAAATGAAGTTGGAGGTGAAGGGTCAGGTCAGATTAGGGAAAACCTGGAAAGACAAAGGATTCTGGGCTTGCTGTGTAGGAAATAGGGAGCTATTATAAATTCTTGAGCAGGGGTGTAGCATGAAAAAGGGAAGTGTTTCAAGACTTTATTTACCTACCTTACAAATTGTGACTGTTCTCAAATCATCTCCCATGGGGCAGGTTTTGACCCCAGAGTAGAGTAAAATGATGCTTGAAGGACAGGGCAGAGTTGCCACCCCTGGGTGCCTTTTGAGTAACTAGTGCTGAGTATTGCACGCTAGTGCTGATGACAGTGCCTGGCCACCTCTGCCTCCTGCTCTTGACTGGATGACCCCGTTGCCACCCTTGGGTCAGAACCCACGTGAGTAAGTGCTATTTGCATCTCTAGCTGGACCTGATGAACACCTCTGTGCTCCTTGGATCCACAGCAGTCAACGGCCCAGGGCAAGGAGACTCCAGAAAAACACACCACATGAACAGGTCAGCTGTGGAATTTGGGGAGCCATAGGCTGGGGCTTGAACACCCCCACCCCACCCTCGTCACTCACCAGGGGTGCCTCAAGGCCTTCTCACAGGTGTACCGCTCACTCGGGTCCTTCTCCAGCAAGTGGCAAATAAAATCCTTGGCTAAGAGGAGCAATCAAAGACACAGTAGCTAAGGACCAGATTTCATG